ACGCTCCTCCCGCTCCGCTCAGGCCATTGGCTGGCTGCGCACGCTCCTCCCGCTCCGCTCAGGCCATTGGCTGGCTGCGCACGCTCCTCCCGCTCCGCTCAGGCCATTGGCTGGCTGCGCACGCTCCTCCCGCTCCGCTCAGGCCATTGGCTGGCTGCGCACGCTCCTCCCGCTCCGCTCAGGCCATTGGCTGGCTGCGCACGCTCCTCCCGCTCCGCTCAGGCCATTGGCTGGCTGCGCACGCTCCTCCCGCTCCGCTCAGGCCATTGGCTGGCTGCGCACGCTCCTCCCGCTCCGCTCAGGCCATTGGCTGGCTGCGCACGCTCCTCCCGCTCCGCTCAGGCCATTGGCTGGCTGCGCACGCTCCTCCCGCTCCGCTCAGGCCATTGGCTGGCTGCGCACGCTCCTCCCGCTCCGCTCAGGCCATTGGCTGGCTGCGCACGCTCCTCCCGCTCCGCTCAGGCCATTGGCTGGCTGCGCACGCTCCTCCCGCTCCGCTCAGGCCATTGGCTGGCTGCGCACGCTCCTCCCGCTCCGCTCAGGCCATTGGCTGGCTGCGCACGCTCCTCCCGCTCCGCTCAGGCCATTGGCTGGCTGCGCACGCTCCTCCCGCTCCGCTCAGGCCATTGGCTGGCTGCGCACGCTCCTCCCGCTCCGCTCAGGCCATTGGCTGGCTGCGCACGCTCCTCCCGCTCCGCTCAGGCCATTGGCTGGCTGCGCACGCTCCTCCCGCTCCGCTCAGGCCATTGGCTGGCTGCGCACGCTCCTCCCGCTCCGCTCAGGCCATTGGCTGGCTGCGCACGCTCCTCCCGCTCCGCTCAGGCCATTGGCTGGCTGCGCACGCTCCTCCCGCTCCGCTCAGGCCATTGGCTGGCTGCGCACGCTCCTCCCGCTCCGCTCAGGCCATTGGCTGGCTGCGCACGCTCCTCCCGCTCCGCTCAGGCCATTGGCTGGCTGCGCACGCTCCTCCCGCTCCGCTCAGGCCATTGGCTGGCTGCGCACGCTCCTCCCGCTCCGCTCAGGCCATTGGCTGGCTGCGCACGCTCCTCCCGCTCCGCTCAGGCCATTGGCTGGCTGCGCGCGCTGCCAGAGACGCTCTCACCCTTAACTGGTTTAACTCGTGGGAGGGCGGGAACGCTTAAGAGGGATTCTGTGAGGACACGATTGGCTTATTTTCCCGTCACTCACCTCTCAGTCCCTGAGAGGGACGCGTGCCAGGCATGGAGGGGCGTAGTGCCGCGCATGCGCGCTACGCAGCACCGCCCGCGGCGGTCCGGCTGGGCCTCTGCTTCGCCTTTGGATCCCCACGCCACCGACTGCCTCTCATGCATTGTTTGTGGGGGGGTTTCTTGTTTGGTTTTGGTGTGGGTTTTTTGGGTGTCTTTTGTTTGGGGTTTTTGGGTTTTTTTTAGGAGATACTGCTGAGCCTCTCAAGTCTCTTGTCCTACGGGCACTTACACAATCGGATGTTTAAAACTCAACACATAAAAGTGGGTAGGGAATAGGAAACACAGATAACATTAAGGGGTTTTCTCTTTCACTTGGCATTAAAGCTTAGTTTGCTACCATAGTCTAGGAAGTCTATGCAATTTATAATTTGAAGGAAACTGCAAGATTATGGGAATCTGAGGGGTAACTGGCAATGCCACAAATCTAGCTCGTTTCTTTTTGCCAGGTGTGACCATTGGTTGAGCCCATACAGTGAAATCATTCAGTTCTCCAGGTCGGCAAGATATTTTCCTTTTGTGCATTAGTTTTCTGTTTTCACGAGTTTGCTGGTTCCCTGAGAAACAGCTGAACATTGCATCTCATAATGGCGCTAAGCTGTTAAACAAGTCCAACTGTCAAACCTGTATCATTACAAGTGACTCAGAATGAATAATGAAGGTCAGTGTTCTGAAAAGGGTGTTCAGTAGTGCACAGTAAAGGTGCATTTTCAAGAAACGGAAGTGGTTTAGTATTTTTCAGCCATGAAAGAAAGCTTTTTCTCTCATCTACTGCACTGGCATCCTTTCACATGTGCTGGTTCAGTTTCTTGTTGGAATTTTTCCCCCTAGGTGATTCACCTGATTAAACTGTTGAAAAACCTAGTAAAAGGGTTAAAAAAAAAAAGTTCTGCCTTTAAGTGATGTAAATGGATGTACAGGCAGATCTTGTGAGTGCCAGAGCTGGCATGGGAGAGGGCAGAGCCAGGTGCTTGGGACAGGAGCTCTTCTGGCAGCAGTAAGGGGTGATGGAAGATTTGTTCCTACCTTCCACTTCCTTTAAGATACTATCTTATTTACAGCTCCCTTCCACACAGGATGCTTTAAGAAACTACATGAATTAAAATTAACCTAGTATCTTGTTATTTAGTTTCTCTGTTTCTTTATTACTTGTATCCACAATACATACACTTGCTTGCTACACCCTGATGAACTAAAACTTTTATGAACCTAATACTTCTGTAAATCTTTTGTCTTTTTTCTGGAATTCTTGAAAGTCAGACAATGCCACTCGTGTTATCTGTCATGATGAGGAGTGTGCTGTTGCAGATATCATTGAATCCAGAATATGAAAAACAATTACTATGTCCTTCCTGCCAGACACTTAACATGGTATGCTGGGGTTAAGCCCAGCTGTACATAAGTGTGATCACAACTTCTTTGTCTTGATAGTTGTGAGAAACAGTCATACTTGTTCCCTTTAAAAAAAAAAAAAAGAAAAAATCCAAAACCTTGCCACTTCATTATATGAAGCCAATGCTGAGAAGTCTCCTAAATAATGGATGTGTTGGTGTATACTCAAATTGTAAGACTTTCTGATGTCTGTGGTTAAAATGTTCTAGCAGCTTCACATTACATTTGAGTCAATTTAACATCTTTGCTACCACTTGGGGAAAGATCACTCTTCTAGATCTTAGCCATGCTTTCTTTTCTACAGTTGGTGTAGGCTCTACTCTGGTAGCATATATAATTCAGTTCTTGAATGTTTCCTCCTTGCCTTCCCTCTAAAATGCTCTGAATTTTTGGCATGTTATTATTTCACTTTTTATCAGTTTCATTCACCTTGCTAAATGAATGGGCATTTGGCAAAATTAGCCCAGAATGGGTGGGGGTTTTGGCTGAAGCTGGGAAGGAAAAGAAAGACTTTTTTATGGGAGGGTATAATTTGAATTAAGCTGTAATAGGGAACTTGTACCTTCACTATTCTATCCACCAAGATTGGCCTTCAGTAACTAGTGCACTCCATTTTTGTCTACAGCTAAAAGTGTAAACAGTTTGTGAATTTGAATGACTTCTGAGTTTTGCATCTGTTTGTATACATGCACATAGTCCTTTAACTTACTGACATCTCACTGTTGTTATGTGAGGTTTGGATTACAAATATGATTGAGAATTACATCCTGAGCCTGCATCGTTCGATTTCTGCAATGCATGATTAGGCCTTGTTGCCTTATCTTATGTGGTTTCATATATTTTCACTTGTGAAATTAGATGAAAATATCCTCATTTCAGCCAGACCCTTCAGTCCTCCTGTGTACATCCGCAGCACAACTTTGTATCTTTACAGAAGAAAACCCTTTGATACCTTGGCATCCTGGTTTCAGTTTATGGAATGCCTACAAGGAGGTAGGATTTAAGTGCAAGCAGATTGTCCTCTTCTCCTTTAACACTTCTGGGCAGGCCTTGCAATGAAAATGCACAATTTTTTATCAAGGTGTACAGGAGGAAGGCTGAGCAGCAGTGTTCCTGAAGTCTCCAGGGAATGGAATTCACTAAGCTTTTGGTAAAATGCCAGAAGACTTTGCGCTTGCAACTGATGTGGGATAAAGGCATTTCTGGATAATAAGGACATGCTGCACAGATCATCCACTCATTACAGAGAAAGGTGAAAAAAAGGAGACTTGAAAATGGAAAATTGTATGCCATTTTCCATTTCTGGAAAGAATGAGTAGTGGCTGAGGTTACACTGTACAGACATTTAAAATCTTGATGGCATGTTTTCCCATTGTAGTTCTGAAATTTGTCCCTTCTCTTGCTGTGCTCAGGAAGATTCAGAATTGCTCCTCTCAGCTTAACCTCATCATCTTCTGGAAGACACTATTTTAAATTTCATTAGAGTGAGTGACTGCAGAACTAGGATCTGGTGTTTGCAGGTGTCTGCTGGAGTTGGATATGGTATGCACTGGCTCCTGGAAGCCTGTTTTGCTTTGCCACATTACAGGTGAGGGACTACTCTTGTAATCTGATTTTAATTTTTGCTGAAGAAACTGCTGTCAGTGGTGTAAGCAAGTAATTTTTTTTTGTCTTTTTAAAAAATTTTATGGCAGAAGCCTGCAGAAACATTTTCCAAACAAATTGGCAAATCTGGTTTCAAAGATCTAGTGAAAAAGAACACTAACAATTTAAATTAGATGTGGAAAAGAACAGGAAGCACCTTTCCAAGTGTGAACAGTATATCTGGTAGATGTAGGTTCCCAGCCAACCCTACAACTCCAAAGTTTTCTTTCAAGAGAGATCTGGGGTGTTGTGAAGGGTTTGCTTACACAAATGAGTCTGAAGAGTTGTCCGCTTCTTTTTTGAGTATCCCACTTTTAAAAATGTTGACCTTGTCAAATACATGGAACGGTGAGACAAATTTTTGGAGGTAAAGTTACTAGCAGAATCAATATAAGCCTCAAAGTTACAAGTTAAAACAAGGTAGTGTTCATTTGCAATATTGGATAAAAATTCATTTTAATTTACTGACTGACATATGTTTTCATAATTTGTAGTTCTAGTTTCATCTACTTTGTGGCTTCTAGGTATCACCTTTTTAGCACCTGTCCTCTTGTCTCAGCTTCAGTCAGGAAAAGCAGGAAAAAGAACAGATCCAACATCCTTAGCACAATTGCTGTTGGAGCTCACAAAAGAATTATTGAAATCTTTGAGGAGAAGAAGAGTTCAGTTACTTTGTTGCAGCAGGAAAATCCTGACCAGTGGAGATGTTTGCTCAGTTGAATTTCTGGCTTCTGTATGGTCTTCAGTCTCATCATACTGAATGGGTTTTTGCGGTCACTTGCTATCCTCCCAATTTCCTTTCTGACATGTCTAGTTATTCTCAAGACCTATGCCTCATACATTTAACTCAACCTGAAGTATGATCTCCATTTTGCACACTGTACACTGATTTTTCTGTTTATATAGTGTAACTTTTAATTCTTTTTTCCCAGTGTTGTCTTTAATATCCATATCGATATTTATTCTTATGTTTAGAGATTTTTTTTTAAAAGAAACCAATTTATTTAGGGCTGCTGTCCTACTTATGATAACATAAAACAGCAACCCTAAATAATCCTGTAATTACACAGAACAATTTCCCAACAGCTGTTTCTTAATAAAGCCCATATTTCAGTTTTGGAATTTTTCACTTGATTGTTTCTGAATATCATCCTGTCCAGTGTGCTTCATTATTGGTGCTGTAGGTGCTTACTGTGTAGTGCTTTATCTTGGCCATTGTTTTTCTTTTGTTTTTTCTCTGTCAGTGTCCCTTGATGTTCAAACATTATTAAGGTCAGTACAGACATTATTATGAAACAGGTGCACGTCCATTAAAATCTTGTTAGGAGATGTTATCATATTTCTTGGCACACATAATTAATTCAGGTTTCACTTACTGCTTCAATGGAAGGTGAAATCGCTGCTCAAGGATGCAGTGGTAAAGTTCCCTGCTTTTGAATTTTAAATTGATACTCTTGTGGCCCTGGATTACCACTTGTGAGCTGGTTCAGTGTCTGTCTTGCCTGGTGAAACGTAGTAAGGATTTGGAGCTCATACGCTGTAGCCTATGATTCTTTGTGGCAGGGAGGCCAGATTCTCCGAAAAACCCAATATGTTAGACTGTGGCGTGGTCAGTTCTGACAGTGGTATACGCTCTCTTTCATGCCTTTGTTTTTTATCACCTAACTTACATGAGAATTTGATTATGAAGTATGATGTTGATTGACAGCCAGCTGAACAGGAACCAGCAGTGTGCCCAGGTGGCCAAGAAGGCCAATGGCATCCTGGCTTGTGTCAGCAATAGTGTGGCCAGCAGGGACAAGGAAAGGATCTTACCCCTGTACTCGGCACTGGTAAGGCCACATCTCAATTATTGAGTTCATTTTTGGGCCCCTCACTCCAAAAAGGCCATTGAACGACTCGAGCATGTCCAGAGAAGGGCAACGGAGCTGGTGCAGGGTCTGGAGCACAGATCCGATGG